TGTATGTCATACATATCTATATGTATGTAACAGTGGTTATATAGAATAAGGGGACACGCGCATTGCGTGCGTACGTTAGCGAATTATGATGGATGCACAATTAATTTTTCCTTGGAAATAAGGGAACATCAGTGCTCTCGCTACGCTACGACGGCCAGGATGCTAATAATTTCCAGAATAACAGGCGAGCATTTAGCTTGATTAACTTAATCTGGTATTTTAACATTTTAATAAACCAACAAAGGCCAGATTAAGAATTTTTCATATCGTTACAACACTTTATTAGCACTAACTTAGCAATTAGGAATCGATTCCCCGGTTGCACTTCCCGTTGTGGCTGAGCGTGCATATAGCTAAACGTAGTATATAATATAGCTCTTATCTGCGTTCCAAAGGCGCAGTGCGCGCTCGTAGTGTCTGTTTTGCTCGGTTTATCTACGCGTCTGCGCTCTCGTATATTTGGCAGTGATCTCACTCCATAGTTGGTGACATCAACTCACATCACTGCTATATACTCCCACGACCTCAAAAACACCATTCACAGATAATGAAACACTAATTGTAGTCTTCTGTGGACTTAATGTCCCAGACTCACAAAGCTGGGATTGACTTGTTAGGGGATAAACAAGTTACAGTTTGATTTCTGAGGGACTGGGGGTAGCTGAATCTGGCCATGTGCCACGGCCTCTGTTGCTGTTTGTTCATCTGCTTCTGGTAGTCAGCCCTGACATATAATTTGATCTGATTTTGAATCTCAAGTGCAAAGATTGATTTGATTTAATTTTGCTAAGACATCTTTTTAGAGAAATTCTTCAAGATTCAATTCATCATGTAGATTCAAATATTACCAAAGGTAGATGTTAAATAATTAATTTTTATATGTAACCAGCAAACAAAATAGTGTACATTAAACTATTCAGAGCTGTTAACTTTACATAGAGTAATAACTTTGTATACGCAGAGGCATAATTTAGATGGTTTGTATATTATATAAAAAGGTCTAGATAGAAAATGGCACAGTGTTGTAGGAATTATTACCTCAGGTAATTTTTAATATCTCCACCAATATGTTTGAAATTGCAATATGTTTGAAGTTTAATTAATTATTATTTAATGCTGATTATTAACCAATCGTTATGCCAAATGGTCGGCTCCTCCAAACTCAATTGCGGTATCCCTGTGAGTCTGTTAAT